ACTCATATAGATACAGAGTTGAGCAAAGGATAAAGTGTATTGAGAGAACAAGAAACTATTAAGTGGCAATAGAGATGAAGAGGGAATTCCCATCCATCGTTCTTTCAAAAAGCACTGAATAGCTACTACATGGAGTTTTATATTAAGGCTTTGCTATTCAGAGATGAATAGAGCATGATCGTCCCCCACCACCACTCCCGCTCCAGAAACTCATGCTCTATTGCAGGAAAATGATAAAGAACCAAAGAAATTTAATGCTGAGTCCTTGTGGTATTTGGCAATTTTAATTTTTAAAAGGCAATTTTAAATTGTTTTATTCTCTAGCATATGATAATTGTGTCATATATAAACTATGAACCACTCGTATATCTACCACCCAACTCATGTACTAGAACTTACACATTTACATTCATCTAAATTGTTCTGTAATTTGGAACTAAATCTAAAAGCTCTTTGTAATATGGCAGCATCTCCATATAACGAATTTCCAGCTATTTCTTCCAAACTTACTATTCTAGTCAGACATACTTGACAGAGGCATTCTACAAACTTAAGTACCCCAGAAAACAACTCATCTTTCTTGTCTAGAAGAGTTGAAGAAATATTTTTTTGCCTGATAAGTGCATTTCTTACAAACATTATTACAGGAACCAAGGTAGCTTCTTCTTATACAGATTTTAAATAATTTGCAAAGGTAATAAGAGTTCACATGAATGGATAGTTGTAAAAGCTAAAAAAATACTTTCAAATGCTGTCATGGAAATTCTTAGAAAAATTCTTGCAAAAACTCTTTAAAAAGGATTTATATTATCTTTTCACTCTCATAAGAAAATGTTAATTTTACCTTGCATTTTAAAAGAAGACTTAAAATTATCATTTAAAAGATTACTACTCCAAGCAGGATCTTTCTCTTTCATGAACTTTTTAATTATGGCAAAATACACACACCAAAAAATTTATCATCTTAACAATTTTGAATTGTACAATTCAGCAGCATTAAATACATTCACACTGTTATAAAACCATCACCACTCCATCTTGCAAAACTCTCCATCCTGCAAAATTGAAACTCTTTTCTCATATAACAGTCTATCCCCTTTCCTGTAGCCTCTGGCAACTACTATTCTACTTTCTGTCTCCATGACTTTGACTACTCTTAAATACCTCATATTGTATTTTTCCTTTTTTAAATTTCACTTAACATACTGTGTTCAGGATTCATTCATACTATAGCATGTGTCAGAATTTCCTTCCTTTTCAAGAAAAATTTACTATCTTAATATTTTTTAAGTGTACAGCAGTGTTAATTATATGCATTGTTGTACAATAGATCTCTAAAATTTTTTCATCTTAGTGAAAATTTTTTCATCTTAGTGACTACTTTAGGTACCTCATATAAGTAGAATCAAGCAGTATTTGTCTTTCTGTTTCTAGCTTATTTCACCTAGCAAAATGTCCTCAAGATTCATCAGTGTTGTAGCATACGACAGGATTTCCTTATTTTTAAAGGCCGACTAATATTCCATTGTGTATATATACCATATTTTCTTTATCCATGCATCCATCAATGGACATTTAGTTGCTTCCACCTCTTGACTATTATGATACTGCAATGAACATGAGTGTGCAAATATATCTCTGAAATCCTGTTATCCATTATTTTGGAAATATACCTAAAAGTTGGATTGTTGGATTATATGGTAATCAATATTTTTAAGGACTTTTTTAGAGCAGTTTAGGTTTACAGTAAAATTAAGAGAAAGGTACTAAGATTTCCCATATACCCCCTGATGCCATGCATGCTTATAGCCTTTCCCATTACCAACGTTTCCCACCAGAGAGTAGTATATTTGATACAACTGGTGACCCTACATCATAATCACGCAAAGTAATGGTTTGTATTAGGGTTCACTCTTGGTGCTGTGTATTGCATAAGAATGGACAAATGTATCTACCATTATAGTTTTATAAAAAAAGCTTTCACTGCCCTAAAAATCCTCTGTGGTAATCCTACTTTTAATTGTTTGAGGAACCTCCATACTGTTTTTCCATAGCCTACTAACAGTGCACAGGAATTTCAATTTTTCTATGTCCTCACCAATATTTGTTTGTTTTGTGGGTTTTTTGGGGGGAGATGGGGGGAATAGTAGATATCCTAACAGATGTAAGGTGGTATCTCACTGTGATGTGCATTTCCCTTATGATTACTATGCTGAGAAACTTTTCATGTCATTATTGGCCATTCATATTTTCTTTGGAGAAATGTCTAATGTCAAAAGGCCTATGTACTTTCTACCAGAAATACAGCCATTACATGTGGACACATGATAATAATAAAAACTACCTGCTCCTTCTAAATCAGTTTGTACCTCAAATGATAGAAAGACAAGAGGGGAAAAAAAGATAACACAAAAAAATAGAGAAAGAATCCTCTTAGTAACAAGAATAATGATGGAATTAAATCTTACCAGCTTCCATTTAAAATCATCAATCCAAAGGACAATATAGATGCTTTTGAGAAATTCAGAAATTTCAACTTAGGATCACTGTTAAGATAAAGATGGTTAGATCCCTCCACTAAAAGCTTCCTCTCCATTATAATTTATAGTTTTTCTATTTGCCTTTTAAAATTATTATCTTCTTTATCCTCCACTGATGCGCTTCTTGATGCTGCCATTATTACTTTTTTTAATGCCTAATCTATTGACTTATTTTGCAAACAGCTGCCTCAAAAGCATAAGGGTTCCTTTGTAGCTAGGCACTAATTTAAGAAGGCTGTTTTCTGAAATAATATTTATTCATTAATACTCCTGAACACCTACTCTGTGCAAAATACTGTGGGAAATACAAAGCTACAAAACTCACCAGAAGGGTCTTATAAACTAGGTCTTACTAGGCCATACTCAGTATCATATTTGCTTAGGATACAGCCCTGGAAACAAAACATAACAACGGGGCAGCATGGGCATTTCTGCCCAGTGGCTCGTCACAGCTGGTAATATAGCTGACAAAGAACTAACTGTCTTCTGGCATTCCAGTTGACATGTCGGGTTCAAGGGACTAAGACTCATATCCAGTATGTTCAAGAGAACATGGAACAAGACAGTTCAACACTAGATCATACTCTGAATACCAAGGAAAGACATATAGAGTTTTACTTTATTTTTTAACTATTGGTGATGTCTGAGTAAGGGATTATTAACATGAATGAAGCTCTAGTAATATGAATATGGCATCAGTATATAAGGGGCCTAAAAGTAGAGACTAGAGGCAACAAGACTATTACATTCCATTGGTGAAATAGTAACAATAGTAACAATTTAACAGCAGCAGCCAACACTTTCTTTAGCAACTTGCTAAAATAGCCAGACACTATTCTAAACATTTTTCATGCATTAAAAGACAAGACATTTTTCATGTATTAAAACATGTATGGAGAGATAAAAAATTTGCAAGTGACAGGGCCAGCATTTGAACCCAGATAATCTGATCTGGCTCCAGAGAGTATACTCTTAACTACTCAAAGACACCACCTTCCGTGTATGCCCACGTTGTCCAAGATTTTAGAAAACACCCTCAGGAACACCTCATCCCTCCCTGAGAAACCTGATAATGACAGGGCTGATAGTTCTGATATTAGACTCAGCAAATCAACACATGTGAGTACATCATGTGGGAACAGAAAATGAGATCTTGAAGAATAGCTGGTACCTCCTTATTCAGTGCCCACCGAGTGCCAAGTATTCTTCATGCACCACTTCATTTAATCCTCACAACTACCTAGGATGGAGGCACTATGTTTGATCCACATTTTTTTTCAGATGAGGAAATCTAGGCTCAGAGAGACTACACCTTCTTCCCTCATTACAGAGCCAGTCAGCAATAGAAGCAGAATTAGAATCCAGAGCCATATCAGTCTCATGCTCTTCCCCACTACCTTATGCTGAGGGCTTGGAGCAGTGGGTCAGGAATACTGCCAGTCTGAAGGCTGGAGTCCTTCTACCCTCAGAAGGCTACCAGCCTCATCCAAAAGACTGCAGCCAGGAAGGTAGTGTACAGCTACGTCCCCAGGCTATTTCCAGTCTGCTAGAGGTTATACCAAGTGGATGCCTCAATCAGCCCTTGTTCCAAGGAACTAGAACTAGTATATGAATTTGTGTGGGACATAGGTAGCTCTGAGGATTTTGTGTGTAGGACACAAAATCCAAACATAATACCTTAAGGAATTTCCAAAAACAAGCTTAGGAGCTATCAGTATGTGGCCCTTCAAGAGAAGTTTAAAAAAAAAATTCTCTGAAGAGAATTTAGTAAGTCACATGGAACTGGGGATAGCTCCTGAAATTAGAAACCCAAGAGAACAGAGCTAGGGTTCAGGAAATTGACTATACTTGTTTTCTTGGCTAATTTCCATATGTTTAGCCTCAGAGCTTCCTAAAACTTTATTCTTAGAAAAATGGTTAGAACATTAAATTAAAAAAACAAAACACACCAACACATTGAAACATGGTAAAATTTTGGCTTTTACTTCTTCATTATTTTTGTATGAACTTTTCAAATTTCCTATAATAGACATATATTACATTGTTACTCAGAGATAAAAATAAAATATGCTAATTGAAATACTCCTAATCAATACTTAGGAAGGGGGGAAAAAAACCCAAATTTTACATAGAATAGTCTAATTTCCAAGTACTCAAACAGGCTACATCAAAATCACCAAGACATTTGTAAAGTATACTAATTTCCAGAGCTTAAAAACCCATTCAATCAGTATTTCCTTGAATGGGACCTAGAAATCTGGAGTTTCAATAAGCTCCTGACATGACTATCATCTTTTTCATCAAAGAAGTCCAAAAGTGCTTTCAATTCTCTTTTTCTTTTTAAGGTTCCTTGATGATTTACCTAACACAAGGACAAATTTATACTGGAATGAAAACATACAGTATTTTACAGTGAGAGTAAATGCCTCGGGGGTAGACTTGGATGGTCTAAACTCTCACCATTCATCTCTGCAAACTTCTGAACATCACTCAGGGTTTTCAGTTCTTGTCTTGGACATGCTGCTACACACAGTGCCACAGACTTGATCTTCCGATTTATCAAGTCCAGATTGCATGGATCCAAAAAGAATACATACCTAAAGCATGGAGAAAAATATTGAGATATTATTTCGTAACATACCTTCTGGTTCATTGCATAGTTGACTAAGCCTTAAATCAAATAACTTCTATTTCATACTCCTTCACAAATTTAATTAAAAATGAAAAAACTGCAAGAACTAAATATAGATGAATTTTTAAAAAAGTAATTGCTTATAAATATGCTGTTAACAGTGGGGTTGGAGGACTGTAGGACTTATCATTTGTCATGATCTACTTTTCTAATATTTAAATTTTTGTATGGGTATTTTACAATCAGAAACTATTTTCATTTAAAAAAAGAATTTTAGTTTTTTTCTTTTTTGTCAAAGCTGTACCCACACCATTACTAGATTATCCCAAAACTGCTACATAACATGAAATGTAGTTTACATATAAACTAGTTACTGAATATATCATTACAAAAATGAATTATAAAATTAATATATAAAGTTGAATGGAGGCTAGAGAGAAATACACCAATATTTTAACTATAGTCATCTCTGGGTGTTTAAATAAAATGATTTTAATTTTCTTTCTTTTATTTTTTAAAACTCTCATGTTCTAGAAAGAACTCAAATGACATTTTAATTGAGGTAACTACAATAAATACTGTTTATTGACAAAGTTCATCACATACAAACAAAATAATCCTTAAGTCCTCCATGATCCCTTTTATATCCTGTACACTTACTTTTTAGAAAAGGGAAGATTCATTAGAAATTACACTAAAACAGATTTTTAAATGTTATAAAGTAGAAGAGATGACAAAGTTGCAAATATTATCATTTGCCCAAAGAGGAAGGTCCAAATGCTCTTAACTGAGATTAGATCAAGGGAGAGAGTACAGGTAGAAATACTTTTATGGAAGATAAGAGTTTAAGAATCTCCAGCCCTGGCTTCAATTCTACTAGGTCCATAGAATGTTTTATAAAATCATGTTATCTGCCAATAGGCCTTCCCACATTGTTAAAGTCTGTTGCTACACAAAATATGATTCAAATCAGGAAATATAACCAAATATAAGAATTAGGTGAGAAAACTGAAAAGCAAAAATATACAGTTAATACATGCTGGGATGGACAATATAAAGGGATACCAGAAAAAAATTAAATAGAAAAAAAAGTGTGTGTGGTGCAGGGGAAGACAAGACAGGCCTCTGCAGGTGGAGTAACACTGCATACTTCAGTGGAGCCAGGGGCTAGGAACCCAGCATAAAGGTCAGGCATAAGCTTAAGCTACGAACCACCAACTTAAAAAAATGAATTTCTGTAACCCTGTTAGTGATTACAACACCATTACTGTTCTACATAGATAAAAGGAAAGAAAAGAAGCCAGGCAGAAAGATGTGCTTTGGAGTGGGATTCAAAGACTGCCTATGGCTGCTGACAAGGAACTAGGGCATAGAGGAAAACTTCCTGGCAACTTTTGTGTAGAAACAAGCACTTACATACTAACTGCCCCTCCAACTGTCCTGTGCATCTGACTCAGCATGCCCGTGCCTGACACCCTATGCAACTTACTGCATAAAGCCAGCCCCTGGGCAGGGAACACTCAGCTCCTTGAGGAAGGTGTCATAACACCTTTGAATCATTTACCACCACCACCACCACCACTAACAATAATACTATTAAGAAAAAAAATAATGGTAACCAACATTTATTGAATACATAACTATGTACTAGATGTTGTACTAAACATTTACATATATTAACTCATTTATTCTTACAACAATCCTGTTGGGGGTGGGTGAGTATGTGGGTACAGGAACCGGAGTGTGGAAGAGAAGTTAAATGCACAGTGCTAAGTAACAGGCAATGTCTTGAGAAATAGCTGAAGAAATCACATGATAGTAGAAAAACAATCTTGGGGAGATTGAAGAGAAAGGCTGCCTTTTACAGCCTTCTAAGAACAGATGCCCTGTCTGACTGTCCTGCAGGCTTCTGCCTGCTCCAAGGTCAAAAGTGCTCTCACTATATTTCCAACTTTTATACCTTATAGCATACTCCCTTAACTTACCCTCCGACTGGGCAGCAGCTTTATACCATACACTGGGTCAGACCAACCTGATCTTGCTTTCTGGTTCTTTTTCTTAATAGTTTTCTGATCTTGGGGAATATATTTATCCTTCTGAGCCTTGGTTTCCTTATCTGTAAAACTGCATGCAGCCTGTTCTATAGTTTGTTGTCATGTTATTGACAATGTACTAAGGAACCTGACATGGAGTATATATGTGGTGATTCATATCATTAAGAAAACCACTTGCTTTTCACAAGTTTTACATTTGACAGTAAGGCATGAAATTCAACATTTTCTGATATGGTCATACAATAGGACTACCATATTAATATTTAACTTTCATTTGGAAGAAAAATCTGTGTAGGAGTATTCATGATTATTAGGTGATGAGCCTTGATAAGAATTAAGTAGGCCTCCAGAGTGAAAGAAGCACAAGGAGAATAGTACAAGAGGGAGAGAAGAATTCTACAATGATTATAACACTGTAAAATTGATATTGCACATTTTTTAGCCTATACAGGTTGGGAAGAACCCACTTCAACAAAACTAAAAAAATAATTTTAAACATCCTCAAGAAATGAGGATTCACATTCATATACATACATACAATTACACTCAGAACAGTCACCCGACTCCACAGTCCAAGAAAATAGTAAACTTAATTCTCTATGCATTTTACATATTCAAATACACATTAACACAGCAAATGTGTGCACATGCACACATGTTTAAAATAAGTTATAGGCCTTAAATTTAGATTCTGTTAACATTTAATGGATGTCTGGGTGCTGGGAACTGTCACATTCGTGATTTTACTCAGTCTTCACAACAACTTTATGAAAAAGAGGCTATCACCATTCTATAGAGGACAAAACTGAGATGCTAAGAGCTATTAGATGCCAAAACATGAATTCAAACCTAGTTTCTCTAATTCTCAATTTCATTCCTTCCAATATTCTCTATTCTCAAAATATTTCCTACAAATAATTTTAACTCTTCTTTATTAACTTCTAATATTGTTTCCAGCATTGTGAAGTTCATCCAATCCATGCAAACATGTTTATAGGTAATTACATTTTAACTAATTGGTACTTAACTGAATATTTACAGAGTACGAAAAGTGTCTGTGTCAAATAGACAAATTTATGATTAAACTGCACTTTCTTATGACATAGAGAATAGAACCAATAATATTGTATTGTCTCAGTATGGTAGCGGAGGTAAATACACTTACTGTGTTATTTAGTAATGTATATAATTATCAAGTCACTGTGTTGTACATCTGAAACCAATATAATACTGTATATCAACTATATTCTAATAAAAGTAGATAAATTTTTAAAAAAGAAAAAACCCTGCACCTTTCTTGCCTTTTGATTTAAAAATGCCCTTAGCCAGATAAATAAATCCTTAGCTTCAGTTTTCACTTCAAACAAAATGAACTATATGTGTCAGTTTCATTTTTTTGAAATGAAACAAATGACCAACTCTCAAATAAGCATAGCACCGAACATCACTAATCATCAGGGAAATGCAAATTAAAATCACAGTGAGATATCACCTCACACCAGTTAGGATGGCCAACATCACAAAGACAAGAAACAACAAATGCTGGCGAGGATGCAGAGAAAGGGGAACCCTCCTACACTGCTGGTGGGAATATAAATTAGTTCAACCACTGAGGAAAGCAATATGGAGGTTCCTCAAAACACTAAAAATAGAAATACCATTTCACCCAGTAATTCCACTCCTAGGAATTTACCTAAAGAAAACAAGGCCCCTGTTCAAAAAGACTTATGCACCCCTATATTTATTGCTGCACTATTTACAATAGTCAAGATACAGAAACAAACTAAGTGTTCATCAGTAGATGAATAGATAAAGAATATGCAGTACTTATATACAATGGAATATTATTCAGCCATAAGAAGAAAACAAATCCTACCATTTGCAACAACATGGATGGATCTAGAGGGTATTATGCTCAGTGAAACAAGACAGGCGGAGAAAGACAAATACCAAATAACTTCACTCATTTGTGGAATATAAAAACAAAACAAAACTGAAGGAACAAAGTAGCAGCAGACACAGACTCCAAGAAGGGACTACCAGTTACTAAAGGGAAAGGGTTGGGGAAGAAGGGAGAAGGGAATTAAGGGGCACTATAAATAGCAATCACAATATAGGTAGATCACAGGGAAGGCAGTATAGCACAAAGAAGACAGCATCTTAGGATGCTGATAGATAGTGACTGCAATGGGGGTGGGGGGCGGTGAGGACTTGATAAGATGGGTGAATGTTGAAACCACAATGTTGTTCATGTGAAACCTTCATAATATTGTATATCAATGCTACTTTAATAGAAAAAAAGTAAGCATGGCATTGGCAGACCAGATTGGTATAACTAACAAATCTACAGATGAGTGTTTTTCAACTCAGAAGGTGAGAGACACTACATCAGAGGCTATAAAACAGTTGTCTGTCTGGAACTGTATCTTAAAACACTCAGACTACTTTCACTCCACCATTAAGCAAACAGTTGGAAAGGGATGTGGCAACTGAATTTTGAGAAAGCATTTTAGGCAACTCTGATTATGCACCTTGGTCCCTATGACCCATCCTTTCAGAGTGGAGAACCACTGTCACTGATTATCCATAAACCTAAATAAAAGCCAATTTTCATTGCCACCCTCAGTGAAAGCAGCTCTGTTTAAGTTTTACATTACTTAAGGAGCTAGGATGAATAAAATACCAAAAGTGGGAATGAAGAAGGAAAAGAAACAACAAGAGAAAATCACTCCACAAACTAAACAGTCTAGACACTTGCAGGCATTGCCACAGACAACACGCACCCAGCATGATCACATGATAATGAGAAGGACACATTTGCAAGGAGAGTTGCAAAACAGCCCAGTGAACTTTGAACTTAAAGTTAGGGGAATGGAGGAACAAGACAGGGATGCCCACTCTCCCCACTGTT